GTTGTTAAGTTGTTTAAATAAGTTAAATTAATTAATGTGGTTTAGTTGGTGGATTTAGTGTTGTATTAAGTCAAAACTAAACTAGTTAAAGTTGTTAAGTTGTTTAAATAAGTTAAATTAATTAATGTGGTTTAGTTGGTGGATTTAGTGTTGTATTAAGTCAAAACTAAACTAGTTAAAGAGTTAAAGTTGTTTCAATAAGTTAAATTAATTAATGTGGTTTTGTTGATGGATTTAGTTGTTGGAATTAAGTCAAAAGTAAACTAGTTCAAGTTGTTAAGTTGTTTAAATAAGTTAAATTAATTTTGTTGTTGGAATTAAGTTAATACTAAACTAGTTTTAGGACTAGTACTAGTAAAATTATTATTAAATTTTATTTATAATATAATTGAATATCTATATTTTTGTAGATGGATCATCGTTTGTGGATGTATAATATGCATTATGAAACTGGTGCTGGTTTGAAACCTGAGTTTATTGACGGTGTTAGAAATTTTATTGAACATACAATGACACTTGACATTTTCAAGATTAATGGATTGGTTAGGTGTCCTTGTAGTGCATGTAAGTGCTTAGAAGGTATTGGATCATCACTTCAAGCTGAGGCACTTGACGGTGTTCAGATTGCTGCTATGTCGGATCAAATAGCTAAACTTACAGCGGCACTAGCAGAGTCGGGGCGGAGAAGAGTAGCTGAACAATAAAGCATGAGTGAGACCGTTCAGCAAATCAAAGAACAAGTGATGAACCTCGCTCGTCGACCTACTACTTTTGCTCCCGATGACATCGACGACGAGAGTGATGAGGATGATTATGTAGATCTCACTCCCTAGTTTAGATCTCTGGACATTTATGAACTTTTTGAAATTTTGAAAGGAATTTTAAAAGACTTTATAAGTCTTTAGTTTATGATTTAGATACTTTTGAATGTTATTTTAAGTTTGTTGTTTTATGTTTTGTTTAGATTGTTTATAATTGTGTGTGTTTGATTAGACTGAATAGTGTAGAATTGAATTGAATTGTATTTGCAGGTGGGCAGCAGAAACTGCAAGTTGCTGCTGTAAAAAATATTGCAGAAAAAGCGACGGACAGCGTGGTTTAGTCCATCGCTTTTTGGGTTTTTAAAAATAAAATTTTCAGAAAAGCGACGGACTGCGTCGCCTTTTAGAAATAAAAATAATGAAAATTAAAATAAAGCGCGGAGTCCGTCGCTTTTTTAAAAAAAATTCAAAAAAAATATATAGTAAAAATGAGACGCTGTCCGTCGCTAAAAGAGACGCAGTCCATCACCTCTGTCGCTTTTCCGTCGATTTTGACCCAAAAAGCGATGCAGTCCGTCGCTTTTGGCCGTTATTTTTTGACAATTTTTTAGTAGTGTTTATCTCTTAGAATTATATCTTACAATGCTAAGACTCATTACACAACTTTCAAAAGAACAACTTAAAACATTTTTGATAACTCTATTAGGTCCCTTGCTGTTTTTGAAAGCTTGAATTCTTCAAAGACAAGAATTTGCTTTTTAAATGCTTTGACTTGCTTGACTAGGTTGTTTCACATTTAGGGAGATATATTACCTTTGAACTAAAACAACCTAGTGCTCTATGATTGGTTGAGTAAATTTTCCTCGTTGCTAGTGCTCACCAATCGTGTCAGAGAAAATAGCTTTTACAATTGTTCAACAATTAACTTCAGATACTTTGATCAGCTACAGGACCAGGTTGCATGTTTGTGAGTAGCATCAAAACTTCAAATTCTAACCGATTATCTTAGACAACAAATTTTAATTGTTTTTTTCTTGCTTAAACTTCCTGACCAATTAAACATTACTATATAAACATTAATTTTTTCTTGCTTAAACTTCCTGACCGATTATTACTATTTCACTTTACATTGTTTGCACTATATATGTATGAGCTAGCTAGCATGGATCTTTATATTCAATTTAGCACTTAATCAACTCTAAATTAAATGATGACTCGACCAACGAATCATTATCAAAAAAATGTTTCTAGTGTAAATAATGTGGACATTTCACACTTTAAAGTTGGTTCTTCTCAATTTTGGACAGATAGTCATTTTCTGTGATCCATTCTTTGATCAATTACCAATCACCTTGCCAAACCACAATATGTTGATATATATCCTAAATTCCTAATTGAAGTGTATAGAATTTTAACTACTCCTATATTAATATGAAGTTTTATGTACCAAAAGCAATCAAATTAGAACAAATCTCTACACAATATTTTCCTATAATAAGGTTTAGGAATTTAATTATATTTGTAATTTTGGTTGTACGTAGTAATTCTAAGGAACTCCATGGGAATTGTCCTGTTTCCCAAAGTAAAAAAAATGAATCCTTTAAGGTAAATGCCCGGTTGAGATGCAATATTTATGAAAAATTATGTATTTTAGTAAATATATAAATGTATGTATAAAACAAAAACATAGCAGTTTATTTAATTACTATTTAGATTACAACGTTGCCTAATTATTCCACATCATGCATGATTCTAATTTGCTTAGTTATATTCCTTACGTGGCTCTGGCTGCTACAAGGTAGGTACAATAAGATTAAAGGCCCAAACTCACATTACAAACCGCCCAGTGTCTGTCCATCATGATTACTAAGCGACAGGAGATGGCGAAGAAAGTGGAGGCCAGTAATAATATTTGGGGTGGCGGCGGTGGGGACTTGTAATAAATATATGGATATGGTGATTCTGGTGGCGATGGTGATTCTTACGTCGTGATGGTGGAGGTGAAACATAATCATAATAAAAACAAAATAAATAATAATGAACCAAATTAATAAGTTGATATTAAAATACTAGGCCTATATTAACACAAACCACCTCTAGTATTTTTTTTTTCTTGTGCTCTAACCAAAAGCATTTGTTCTTCCAACTTGGTAATCGAGCTTCCACACTTGACACTAGTAGACTTTATGGGAAAATGAGTATTTAATGAAACACAAAAAATAAATTCCCTTTATATAATTAGTACAAGATCGTTATAGGTTCTAGCCCATTGAAGCCTACAATACCTTCTTCAATCACCTACTCCATAAAAAATTATAGGTATATGAAAGTGGTGGAGGTGGGCAATTATGCTTGTGATCATGATGATGGTGATGTGGCCTTGGGGATGTGGAGTAAAAGGAAACTACGGTGACTATAGATGCATGTTGATGACAATTAATAAGAGAACTAAGAACAAGTGAAGGACAAGGGAATATTTATTGTATGAGTGGCACCATTGTATGCATTATAAATTAATGATAACGTAGTGCATATAGACTATAGTGGGAAAATTGCTGATAATGATAACGTAGTGCATATAGACTATAGTGGGAAAATTGTCAGCATCCATTTTGATGAAAACATGATGTTCCTCACCAGAGGCGTATCCAAGATTTCGAGATGATGGGCGCATAATTACAAAAAGGTTGATCTAAGATATAAATTTGATTGGTTGGACATTTAGGTTCTTATTACTGAAAACTGTTAAAATTAATATTATAGGTCCAAAATTAATTAAAATGTCAAAAGTGTTACCAACAACCATTTAGAGAGGTGTTTTCTAATTTTAGAAAGAAAAATAAAACAAGATGAATATAAAATTCAAATTTCTAACCTCACGTAGAGAGGTGCACCCAGTCATCATCGCATTATAGATACCCGAGTATGGGTTCACATATCTATATTTCAATATTTTCAAAAATATAACACTACTATATATGATCTCGGGAGGGGAGTATGGGTTCACATGAACCCGGTGACCCCTCCTTGGATACGTCTCTGTCGTCACAGAACGACTTCCTCTCTCAGATAACACACGTTCCTTTTTAGTCTATCATGAAGAGAATGTTTCTTTATATTTAGAATCAATATAACTTTTAAATTTATAGTTTTACTCTTAATGAGATGATTTATGACTACACAAAAATAGAGTAAATTTGTTTGAAACCACAAAATTTTATGAAGTCTTAATCTTTTTTCTTTTTGGCTCAAACTCCATGTCCAGTCAAACAATATCACATCAATTGCTACCTTTTGCTAAGAGAAGAGAGAGAAGGGAAAGACAAAATGGCAGAAAGAATCCTTCCAACCGCGGAATTGAACACAAGACTTACTTCGGCCAGGTAGCTCATTTAAGGAAAAAAATTAAAATGACAGAAATAGAAGTTTGAATTTGTATGAACATATATGTTATAAGATAGACTAGGGAGAAAACATGGTCTGGTTTGTTTCGCCCATAGATAACAAAAAGAAGACATTTTGTCATGACTTGTGACATTATTCGTTTAGTTTAGTGGCATGCGAGGATTTATAATATAAATGGTTAATTGCTCATGCATGAATGTATGTTCTGAAAAGGGAAGACTACAAAAAGGAAATATTCTTCAATTCATGCGTTTGCAGGCACTCTTGGGTACTAGTGCTCTTAAAAGGATGATTCAGACACTAACCCTCATGCTGCTTTAAAGATTATATATGCGGAATAGCTTGAGAGACCTTGTACCTGTTCCGATTTGTTATCCCGGCCCCTTTACTCCCTATAGTTGGAAAAAGTGTGTTATACACATATTATGAGTTCAAAACACTTGTTTTGGTCGAGTTGAGGTGTCTGAAACTTCACGGAGTAAAGAGGACGGGATGACAGACTGGAACTAGTACAAGGGTCTCCCAAACCTTTTCGCCTAAAGATTATAATGAAACTTTTTCAATTCAACTTATTAAACTCTAACCTGCCAGACATAATTCTGATGTTACTTCTCACAATATAATTTAGTGGACAAGTTGATTATTTCCATCAAATATCAAACAAACAGACAATATTTATTCATGTTGTTGAGCCTTATGTTGATGATATCAAACCATCAGTATGCATTCATAAGAGTGCCAATAGATCATGTGGTTTCTTGAGTTATCTGATTAGACCAAGACATGCATAACTCTTTCACATCCATTCCATTAATTAGTCGACAAAATTGACGTTATTTCTATATATACATGGTGTTGAAGTGCTGACTGAGATGAGATTAAAATTAAATGGACTAACATGTAAAGTAAAGAGTATTCATATAGCGGAGTACCCCCAACGTGTTGGAAAGCTGATGGTATCAATTTGGAGGCATAAGAGCTGCAGCAGCGCCAATCAATCCTGTGGTATCATGAGTTATCTGATTAGGCCAAGACATAATATGCAGTCTAACACTTTCACTTCTTTCCATTGCTAAATTGAGAGTGTCCTTAATATCAGCATGATCACAGCAGTATATTAGACCTTCTGAGCTAACAGTTGATGGCAAAAGACTTTTTCCTTCTAGCCTTGAAATCACAAGATGGTGCTTTGCCTCCTCAAATAAATGCACTAAACCGGCTCGTTCTGCAGCTGTCCCCTTTGCTACTGAGTAAATACTGACAAATCCCTGAAAAGAGATTTAAGAAAAAGAACATGTTAAGAATATCATCACTTCATAGTTACATTATTCAATTTGCTGTTTACGGAAAAGAGAAGGCGATGACTATTACTTCATCTGTTCGTTTAATGTTTATTCCAAATCTGGATTCTCCTGGTTCAGGTGTTAATTCAAGTGGAACCTCTGCAATTCCTGGTAGATACCATAGCCTTACACCTTGTGCGGATTGGTTACCAACATAGCCATCTAGTTGCCTACTACAAGTGAGATCTTTTCCACTTGTGTTTCTCCTCTCCTTAACACAAACAAAGCATGAAAAGATTAGTTCATGATGATGCAACTGTTAGTTTGAGTGAATTCATTTAGTTATATACACTGATAGTTCAAAGGATTTGTAGTGAATTTAGGTGACCTAATGTTGTAAAGAATTATTTTACACTGTGAGTGTATAGAAATTAAACTCGGCCAGAAAAGGAAGAGAGGAATACCAAATTGTTGATTTGCTCGGTTTGAATGTTAACGAATACAAGAGGGATTCCTGAAGATACTGCTGCTGAAAACCAGGCCATGGTACGAACTAATGTGGCTTCTACTCTATACTCTCTTGTCAGTGGCATAAAAACTATGGAGCTAACAACTGTAGAATGAGAATCTGGTAGATAAGTTCCTATCTTCATCTTCCAGTCATATTGTAATCCCATTTGGTTATACCCGCGTGATCCTGAATTGACCATTCTTCTGCTCATTTCTGCATAATCAAACAAACATTTTATATACAATGACGTTCCTGGTATACTGCTGCAAAAATACATAATAACCTGACAGTATAAAGGTGTTTAATTCTATGTAGTAGCGAGTGGAAAAGAAGAATCATATTCATACCCTGGAGTTCAGTGCAACGTCCCAAAGTTAATTCTGCTATAACAGCAAGATGTCTCTCATCAGATGCTGCTCTAACAACAAACCTTTTCTGGAGATTTGAACGTCGTTCAACTAAGACATATCCTCTGAGTTTAAGTGTACTCTCTCCCCTTCTAACCTTGAACCAAATAAAATGTCCAGCAATTTTACCAAGAAATAAGGTTAACTCTGACCATGCTTTGGCCTGAATAAAGGAGTCATCATCAGAAGCTAACTCAGCAACACCTTCTATGATGTCCCCGGGGAGTGGCATGCTCACATCCCATCCATCTGGATCTTTTTGCCTCACTTTCTTCACACCAACAACTTTCTCAACACTCGCCATCTTCTTCTTCTTCTTCTTCTTGAAGATGGAACAATAGTATTTTTTAAGTAGCCGCAATAACTTCATATATATCAAGCACTGATCAACCCTCTTTGTTGATGAATTCGAGCACGGACATCTCAAAGTGAAGTAGATTTCTAGTTGTGAACGTCAGAAAGGTACTATGGTCTTCAATATTTTGCTTAGAGAAATATTCTCTGGTTTGATGTATCCGAAGGGTCATTTATAAAACAGGCCGGCTCTACGGATTCTTGTGAGCAAAAAGGCAACATAGTGAAAAAAACAACAAGCTGAACTAGAATGGAAGTCGCTCCACAACATGGTATATTCTGAGAATAAAACAAGCAAAACTTTTGTCCTTTAACTACTGGGATGTTGGCATGAGTACAAACAAAAATAACACATAGAACAAAGCTGTATTAACTTTAAGACACTTGGAAATGTGGGCTTAATTATGCTACATAACAAACTTTACTACAGAAGAAATAATTCAAACTCTTAAGCTTTGTACATACACAATATAGCTCATTTTGTACATTTAAATCTGCCTTCAACTGTAAATACAAGTACTAAGCTAAATCTGTAGAGAAAAAATGGTTGAAAATTACTAGTTACTTATAAGAAAACCTATGTGATGTCATTGTATGGTTTCAAAAATGTCTGCAAGTTCCTTTTCCAGCTTCGTTATGTCAGCTTTTGCACTCTTCCTTTCTCCAGCATGAATAGAGCTTAAACTCTCTTGTCGCTTTGATATCTTCCTCTTAATGCTATTAATCTGCAATCATTTCCAAGGCAATGTGAAAATTCCGTGACCTCAATTATCGAGGCAATGTAGAAAATGAGGGGCGCGCGGGATGTGGGAAGGGAAACAAGAAAGAGACCTTTCTGGAGGGCCATCTGCGCAAGCCATCCCTTCGGCAAACCCTTTTCATCACAGTAGGACATACGTTCAATTTGATACCTGCTTCCTGAATGGAAAGATGAAGATAGTCTTCAAAGTCTTTCACGTTCATCAGTTTAGTTCTTCTCCTCTGCTCTATCAAAAAAAAAAAGGTGATCAGAATGCAAAATATATCTCTACCAAAGAAAATGAACAATCAAGTCCTTTTTTGATATCATAGTAATAAGCTCTCCGCGTGCAAACTACAAACCTGTTCTGAAAGAGAGATCTTTCCACGATTCACGCCACTGCTAGTGCCCTCATTTTCGTTTGCCTGTTCCGTTTGAACATCATCTGCTCGGTGATACAGATGAAAGGACTAAGCAAAATGTTGTTGTACTATCCTTTATTCAGATGAAAGGACTAAGCAAAGATGTATGTTACTTACGGGAAGTTGTTGGAGATAACTGAAGTAGATTATTAATGTCATTAGTACGGTCACCAGAATGAACACTTAAAGTTTGATAGAATTCAGAGAGTGTATCTTCGATCACTATGTAACCATCCTTCTTACAACCCTCGAAATATTGAATTAAAAATTGCTTCACTTTTCTTATACTGTAATTGCTAAAACTGTTAAATCAGACTAGAGTTAATTTCGCCAAACAAGTGAAAAAAGTAGTACATTATTAATTATAATAAACTCAAACTAAAGAGAAGAATCCGTACTCAATTGTATCGGTTGACACATGATTATCCATTGTGGATTTCTCAAGACTTGCATGACTGATCCTTCCTATTGTTCCAAATATTCCAAGCTTAGATAAGATCGTGCCTATAATAATAATAAAGTAATTAACCAAACCAATTAAAATTATTTCACTCGTACAGCGCCCCCCCAAAAACAAATAGAAATTTAAGAGACAAACAAATATTCACCATTGCCATGAGTTATTTCTCTTAGAATTTGGCAATTATTCTTCCCCGGAACTTCACCCTCTGAATTGGTACTATTCCCAACAAATCGATTCCCACTTTCGAATGAAATTTCAAGCAAAAATGAATCAGAGTATGAATCATAGTCAGGGACACGTAAACCATCAGAATTCAAATTTGTTGTATTTTCATAAATGGGTCCTTGTACAATGGTTGGGTAATTTTCATAAATGGGTCCTTGGTAGTTGTTGTCGTCATCTATGGTTGGGTTTTCATCATCAAAGAGTGAAAGAGAAAGTCCAGTAAGAATGTTATCATCAAAAGGATCATGATAAGGCACAATGGATGTATTAAAATTATCCATTATATATGCGACGACGCTGGGCATACACCAAGCGGCGCCACAGATAGGTTGAAAGAGAAGAGAAAATAGAGAAGAAGAACACAGATTTGAATATTTATAAGTAGAAGGGGCGGGAGGGGAACTGGAAGTTAATAACCGTTGCATTCTTCACTTTGAATTTCTAGTGTCGCAATGCACCACGGAGAACTTGTGTTAAAAGCGACGCCCTAATTAGCATTTTATATCTCTTTATCTTGTTTTCAAAAATAAAAAAAAATGCCAAGTCATTTTTCAAATCTTTAAGTTACAATTTGCAATTTTTCCAAAGAATGCAACTTAAAATTATTTAAATACACACAATTAAGAGACAACCGATATAAGTACTTTTCGACTTTTTGTATTTCTTTAACCAATTGTTTGATTTTATTTTTAATTTTAAAAGCCAAATAATGTAATTAGGTTTTGATTTTAAGCAAAAATAACGGAAAGAAATAGAATCGAATCAATTATGTAGATTTAAAAATTATAATTACACACTTACTGACAACATATTTTAAGTCATTTACCAAACTTGACAAAATGAAGAGTATTGAAGGTGAGGATTAGTTCATCTAATTTTTTAGGGAGAAAGAACATTCATCCTAGGAAAGATGACATATTAGTATTCAGATTTATTTTAATTTATGGGAAAAATTAAGTACTTTATATTAGAAGTTTGACTCATTCATGTTCGATAATAATATTAGCTCAAAATTGCCTTCAATAATTAATAGAGGGGTCACACAAGTACAAATTTGAACATTTCCGTGTTACATAAAGTTGGTGGTTAAGGTATCTAAAATATATATCATGATTTTGCATCAAACTGAGTTCGAGTAAGAAGTTATGACTGATTTACTAGAGACACCGTAACCTGACAGAAACTCCGCGATACGGAGTGAATACAGACCTTACTGTCTGCTGGAATCAAATTTCGATGTCCAACTCTTCTTATTTAATTTTTAAGGATATTTTTGTCCTAAAACCTTTAGGAAGTTATCTAAATGACCCTAAACGTGTATGAAATCAGTTTTTTGATAATTAAATCATCTCATTCACTCCTAAATTTCTACTCTCAAGAACTTCAAGAAACACTAAGAGTAGGGTTCATCTTCCAAAAAATTTCTTCAAGATTCACCACTAAGGTATGTAAGGTTACTCATAGTGATGGACTAAGTTCGTCCTCATACTCTACATCTAAAATTCAGTCAGTACGAGTTAAATCTAAGATTTTTACCCAAGTTTTCATGAACTTTGAATTGACCTTTATTTCTTGTTATTGAATTCTGATTCTTATCATTGAGATTATACTACTTCATGTATTTTGATTCTTAAATTGTTGTTCGTGCTTATTTTATCACATTAACTCTATTTAGTTACGGATTGTTGAAAGCAACATAGCTACTTTTATGCATTGACCCATGACTAAAGTAAATTCAAATATTTTAGTTATCAGTTGAGAAAAGTTTTTAAGGGAATACTAATGGTTACAAATGTACTATTTTGTATTGAGAAAAGATTGTTAATTCAAGAAGAGCATAAACAGTTTTAGAAGAAGTTTTTGTTAGTAAAATAAAGACCATTTTTTCCTAAAGAGACCCTTTTGAGTAGGAGTGTGCACTATTTGGATTAAACCGAAAAATCAAACCAAATCAAATCGAATTCTAATTTGGATTGGTTTTTTGGATTTTTGGTTTGGATTTATAATTTACTTTGTTTGGTTTTTTGGTTTGGTTTCGGATTTAGAAAAATAAAAACAGAAAAAATCGAATTATATATATATATATATATATATATATATATATATAGAATTAAGTTGGAGTTAACCACTTTTGTCCCTTTTTAGTTACATTTTATGTTTGGACATCTATAATTGATATACTTTTAAGTATTGTGTTTTACGTTT